CACACGCAGCTGACCGTGGTGACGGACCGCTCCCAGGGGGGCAGCAGTCTGAAGGATGGCTCACTGGAGCTCATGGTGAGAGGGGAGAACTATCCAAGCTGGGTTTCCCCCATAGGGTCCACCTGGACGCAGCCATGCCTGAAGGCTGTTGTTGGTGCGCGTGTCCTGCCTGTAGCCTTGATCCCATCCTCTTCCCTTTCCTCCCTTCCTTGAGCTGGGATTGCAGGCCTGCATCACCAGCCCTGACTTTGGAATTATATTTCTATGTTTCCCTTTCCCTACCGTTACCCTGCTCAGGCCTTGACTTGTTAGACACTTACATTTCCTTGTCTTTGGTTAGTTGGACCTCACCTCCGATGGAGTCCCTACCAGTCCCTGACCTTGGTTTACTTGTCTTTAGTGTCTGTTAAAATTCCTGCAAGCCTCTACCGCACTTCTGAACCCAGATTACTTGCTAGTTCCTCACTCTTTCCTGGCCACTCCTCCCAGGTGCACCGATCGTTATTGTTCGATGATGAACGAGGATTGGACGAGCCCCTGATGAATTTAGGGACCGGAAGTACAGTGCGAGGGCGCCACCTCGTGCTTTTGAGTTCTGTTAGTGATGCAGCTGCAAGGCACCGTCTGCTGGCGGAGAAGGAGGTCCTGGCCCCGCAGGTAGTGCTGTCTCAGGGAGGTGGCAGGCCATATTACTACTGGGCAGCACCAAGGACACAGGTGAGAGTCAGTGAGGGGGCCATAAAGGGAGAACCGGAATGACGCCTTCTCAACCCCTCTTTCCAGGCCTGAGTTCATCCTCAGTTTAAGCCTTTCCACTGAGGAGTGAGCCCCACCTGCTGTCAGCAGTGTGTTTCAGTATTGAGTCTCCTTGTCAGTGCCCCTTCCCATTCAGCTTCATTTCCTGCAGTCAGAGCTGGCTGCCAGCCAGGCTCCCACCAATCCTCTTAGACCCAGCCCTTCTTTCCAGTTCTCCGCACTTCGCCAGGACCTCCCTCCCCAAGTGCATCTGCTTACACTGGCCCGCTGGGGACCAAAGATGCTGCTGCTGCGCTTAGAGCATCAGTTCACTGCGACAGAAGATTCAGGCCGAAAACTGAGCTCCCCTGTAACCTTGAACTTGCAGGTGAGGAGGGTTGTGGGGAGACAGGAGGAGAGAGACAAAACCCTGGGCAAACCTGGGTTTTGCATCTCAGCTGGATCCATCTATTCCTGCAGAACCTGTTCCAGGCCTTCACTATCACCGAGCTGCAGGAGACCACACTGGCAGCCAACCAGCGCCTGTCAGAGGCTTCCAGGCTGAAGTGGATGACGGACAGTGGTGAGGACCTGGCAGGAATCCTGCCTGGGGCTGGCTGCTGAGGGTGGGATCTGGGGGTTGCCAAGGATGTGTCGATGCCATCAGTGTGCAGTTCTAGGATGGCATCTTATCACCTGTGGGATATGAGCACAATGGCTGGGAGTTAGAGAGGGTTGTGGGAATCCTGAGGTGTGTTCAGGCACAGGGAAGTACTTTAAAGGTCTGGATGTGAGACCCTGGGGCAGAGTTGAGAGGCGGGTGTGCATGCTTGTGTCCAGGTCTCAGTTGTCTTCTGCTCATCCACAGGTCCCATCTCCTACCCTGCTCCTTCCAAGTTGGACCCTACCTCAGTCACACTGCGGCCGATGGAGATACGTACCTTTGTGGCCAGGGTTAAATGGCAAGAATTCAGCTAGGCCTGCCCCCCTTTTCTTGCTGTAACCACTCTCAAAAATCATTAAAAGGCTGTGACTCAGGTCACCCATGACTGCATTATTTTTGAGGACATAGAGTGTGGGATCTGGGGAGGTAAGCAGACCCTAGCTCAGCCCTGACCCCAGGCCCTGTCTAGAAGTTTCCTCCCCATTGGAATTGCCACACCAGCATGTTCTCTCTGCATCTCACTCTGGCTCCCTCCCTCTCCTCCCACGTGGATGCTTTGCCCACACAGGCCCTCAACAGCTGTCTCAACAAGCAGAGGATAGGCCCGTGCAGGAACAAGGCACCCGAAAACCAGCTGCCCCGTGTCTTTGTACCCCGGCCTTGGGGTCAGATGTAGGCAGGGAATCTGGGAGGTTCTGCAGAGGTGATGGGACAGAAGCAGGTCCCAGCCTTAGGCTCCTCACTGGTAGGAGGAGCCATCACTCCTCCCCCATGAGATTCTGTCTCTTTTCAACTTGTGCAGCCCCTAGCCAATCCCTCTGAGGCACAGCCTAGAGCTCTCTGGCACTTGAGTGCACTCTGGTGTCTTTAAGTAGGTGTTGGGGGTTTGGAGAGATGGCTCTGATTAAAAGCACAAACTGTCCTTCCAGAGGATCCAAGGTCAGTTTCTAGCGCCCACATCAGGTGGCTCACCAACTGTAACACCAGCCGGGGAGGGATCCAAAGCCTGGCCTTTGTAGTCCATGGTCACCTGCTTTCCACTCATGTTGACACACCCACACATCAAAGGGAAGTAAACAACATAAAAAGCATCTTTTTAATTAAAAAGAGTTTTGTTTTGTTTTCAATACATCCTGACTGAAGTTTCCCCTCCCTCCAACCCTGCCAGTACCCTCATCCGCACCCTTCTCCCCAGATCCACTCCTCTTCCATTTTCCTTTAGAAAAGAAGAGGCTCCCAGGAGTATCCATTGAACATGGTTTAACAAGTCACAATAGGACCAGGCACAAACCCTCATCTTAAGGCTGGGTGAGGCAACCCAGTAGGAGGAAAAGGGTCCCGAGGGCAGGTGAAGGAGTCAGAGATGCCCTCTCACTCCCACTTTTAGGTTTCCACAAAAACACCAAGCTAACAACCATAACCTACATGCACAGGACTAGTGTAGATCCATGTAGGGGACACGTATCTGCTTTGTAATCCAGTACCTAGGCGAGAAGCAGCGGTTCAAGTTCTAGGTCATAGTGAGCCTCTCTCCAATACATAATAAATAAACAAGTAAAATAAAGGCTTGGGTTGTGGCTCATGTCTGTAATTCCAACATGAGAGAGGTTGGGTAGGATCACTGTATTAGTGTTCTCTGGAGGAATACAAGCTACAGAACTTACAGAATGAATATATTTAGTTAGGTGGGAAATATTCACACCTTTAATCCCAGCACTCATGAGGGAGAGGCAGAGGCAGGTGTTCTCTGAGTTTGAAGACAGCCTGGGCTATACAGCAAGTTCCAAGACAGTCAGGGCTACACAAAGAAAACCTGCTTCACCAAACTACAACAACAGAAAAAGCAGTGGCTCTCAACCTCCTAATGAAAGACCCAGAATTTATAGAAATAAAACATAAGCTTGAACATGGAGGGCACCTCACTAGAGAACTCAGGAAGTGAACAAAGGGCCACATCCCAGGAACTGGCCAAACCACAGAATGGAATATATGGTTTAGCAACCTTAATTGCAGAAGGGCTGTAAAGCCACAGAAGGCCAAATTCCGGGCTGCTGACCACCTGTGACGAACTGACCAGGGCATCAGAGATGGGCAAACAAGATTCGTGGGAAACAAGGAGATGATAACCACAATTTACTTAGGGAGAGATGATTAACTCATACCAAGTTTTGAGGAGTTTACAACGTGTAGGTCAGGAAGACATCTGCTTCTCCTGTTCAGTAGTCATGTACCCCCCCCCCGTCACAAAATAGGGATCCCTCCCAAAGGCTTGTGGTTTTTGTCTTTAAAAGCTGATTATAACTGAACCTCGGGGCTAATCGGTCTAAAAGCTGACCGAGAGGCCCATCTGCAGATGTCTAATTAAAACCTCTTGCGTGTTGCATCAATTGGCTCGTGAACTCTTTATTCTTTGGGCAACAAATCCAACTTGGGGACCCCTCCTCAATTCGGGGAACTCTAACACTAACGCTGTGACCCTTTAATACAGTTCCTCATTTTGTGGTGGCCCCAACTGCAAAATTATTCTCATTGCTACTTCATAACTGTAATTTTGCTACTCATTGAGGGATCTCCCTTTTACTTGTGGTCCATTGGTCACCATCAGAGAGGACAAGGAGAACAGAGGCAGCAGGCAGGGCTCTGTGTGGTCTGTGAGTCTGACAGAAACAGCCTTCTGGGAGTCAGCTTCAGTGAGACAGCACAACTGTATTTCAGGGTGAGAGGAATATATAGGATGGGGACAGCAGCTGGGGCACCTCCTAATTTGCATTTGGCAGCATGGTCCCATCATACAGCTGGGACACAGCACCTAGTTACATGGGTGGCTGGGGGAGAGCTTTTGCAGGGAGCTGTGTCAAAGGTCACACTGAAGAGAAGTCAGGCATCCAAACTCAAGCACAGCTTCTAAGTAAGGGCCTGGGGACACTATCCAAATAGGGTAGGGAGGGAGGCCTGCTGCAAAGGGAGCCCTCCATATTAACAGAGCTCAGAGAGTATCTGGACACGATAAAATGCAACCTTAAATGTAAGATACTCCAACAAATCTTAATATACATATCTGATATGCGAACCCCTATGAAAGGTTGTGCAATCCCCCAAAGGAATCGTGATCCACAGGCTGAGGAACACTGCCTGATAAGCTTGTGGCAGGTGAAGCATCCCAAGACCCTTTGCAGCCCAGCAATTTGCAATCACCCCCCAAAAGTGGGCTTGACAGGGATCTACCCGGACAGGGACTAGGGAGCAGGAGCTTGTGGGATGCTGTTGCTAGGTGTGCCTTTTGAGCAGAATTCTCAAGTCTAGGAAAGCCCCCAGAACACAGGTCTGCATAGGGGCTGTTCCTTATCTTTCTGATAACAGGCACTGGCCCTGGGTGGACGGGGAGCCACAGGTTGGTAGAGCCAGGCTGGCCTTATAATATTTCCAACACTAGCACAGGCAGTTTGATGCTAGTGTTAAGTGGAAGGAAGCATTGTGGGTTCTGCTGTGGGCCTTGACATGAAACATGCCTCCATTTTTCTAAGCCTCCCCTTGAAGGAATAGGCTAGATCTGCTAGGAGGCACAGTGGGCTCTGTGTCTGTCCCTTTCTGCCAGCACCATCTGTTCCCTCCTGGACTACTGGATCGACAAGTTCCCTGAGGAGTTTTGCAGGATAGAACACCTGCCCATTCTGAAGCGGGTGAAGGATTACTTGAGCGTGAACATGCCCTCCTCAGGCCTTCTGGTGCGTGTCCAGTCTCTCTAGGAAAATTTGCTGTCACAAGTGGCCAGCGATTCAGGGGCCAGCGATGAGGAAGCCTCAGGGTAGGTGCTTGAGAGCCTGGGAGCAGGGTTCAGGACCTGGAGTGCTGTGGGGATCCTCTGAGAGCTTCCTCTGTGCAGGAGCTACCGATGGATTCTAAGCTGGGCACAAGTCCTTTCTGAGGATAGATTCTGTCTGGGACTCCGGGCAGACATGGTCTCCTCTCTGTCGGGAATGGCTCATTCTAGGCACGTCGTCTCCTCCTGTAGGTCCACGGCCACGTCCCCTCCTAGAGACGCCGGCTTGAGCAACACACCTGTGTGCAATCTTAAGCCCGGGCAGCGGCGCCTCCGCAGATCCAGTGCTCCCAGTGTGTTGACCAGCAATGGCGACGGCTACTCTGGAGCCAGAAGCAGCCTGTGCACTGGAGCCGGAGAGCACACAACCGACACAAGGTTCTGTGACCCGTGTGCAGCTGGAGCCACATGTGGCGGCAGCAGCGGGCTCATCGCCACCCACTGAAGCTGTCGCTGTTGGCCGTGAGGGCAGACGCGGTACCACATTCAACATCTTGCTTGGGCCGCAGTGGTCTGCCTCCCCAGGGAACGGCCCGGCCACCCCTTCCTCCTCCTCTGGTCGTCTGCATGTATCTGCCCTGCAGACGGCACAGCTTCTGGTGTTTCCCCACAGAACGACTCCCCGATTGCAACCCAGCAGCCTTGTCAGCCCCACAGCCAGACTCACCCTGCCCTGGCTAGCAGCCTTTTGACTCTGATCAATGTTGTGTTAGTTTAGTCCGAGGATTGGTTTGAATAAATTGCTCTTGTTTGTGTTTCATTGTCTGAATCGTGGATATGACGTCCACTCTGCATGCATGTACTGGGCCTAGGGGAACGGCTACGTGGGAGAGGCTACGTGGAGACATACCTTCCTGCAGAAAGGGAGATAAAAGCCCCGGCCTTGACAGAGGCCAGCCGAATGCCTGGGAGTGGTGCTACCTGTCCGAATAGCTGTGGCTGGCTGCCATTGGCTGGGGTCCTGACGGCCAGGTCATGTGCTTAGAGGTCAGGCGACCAGGTGTCCCTCCAAGGGGTTTCTCCTTGAGTTGCAGGCTCCTGTAGCTGGGTAGCAGCAAAGTTTCAGGGGCCGATGAGGACAAACTCTAATGTCACGAGATCCCTGCTTGCTCTGAGCACAGGGCCATGTCCACACTTACCCTTTCTGAGGAGAGGATGTGGGGGGTGGTGGTAGAATTGAGCTTTGGGGGTCGTGGGGAGGCATGAGGAGAGAGGAGAGAGGGAAAACTGTAGTTGAGATGCAAAAGAAATGAAACAAAAGGATGAATAAAATGACCAGACACCAAAACAACAACAACAACAACAACAACAATAATAATACTAATGATTGCATTGCCCTGATGGTGATTGACGCCTCGACTGGTATTGTCACGGGCTGTGTGCTTTTCCTCCTACAGGGGGCAGTGTTGAGTCTCAGCAGCCATTGGGAAAGATGGAAAGGGGGACTGCTGAAGGCTCCACGCCTTGGGTCTGGAACTCTCTCCAGTGTCTCTCCTTGCACTGCTTCCCTTGCTGGCACACATTCGGCATAGAGGAGGTGACATCAGCTACAGGTGCCTAGGTGCCTAGAGTTGCACGGGCCTGTCACAGAAGCTGTGGAAACATAGCCAAGAGGAGTAAAGTGAGGAGGAGCCCTGCATTGGCCCTCTATGTCGACGGATCACAGGGTTTTAGTTCACTCTACAATTGCTCCGCTCTGGGCCCCGGGCGTGGAGGTCTCCTTTAGTACCCAGTAATCAGGAGGCAGAAGCAGATGGATCGTTCTGAGTTCAAGACCAGTCTCGTCGACAGATTGAGTTCCAGCACAGCCAGGGCTATACAAAGAAACCTTGTCTCAAAAATCAAATCACAATCATTAAAGATTTTGAAAACTTGAAAAATAAAGTTTCAACGTGTCGTTCCCTGTGAAGTCCCAACACACAGAGATAATTGGTGCTCATGTTTAACACAAAACACACGAACAGTAGCGAGGACTCAAGGCCACATGGCTGGGGTTCACGGTGTGCGAGGGCAATTAGGAGTGAGTTGAGGATTAGGGTGCACATGCTGGTCCAAGGTAGGGACTCAGGTGGCAAAGCTGAGGTGCTGCCTGTTCCCAGACATCCCTGGGAGCCGTGGATCGGGAAGCACGTGTGTAAGGGTATCCAGTAGTGCAGCTGGGAGGAGGGAGAGGCCCGGGGGGACTCTAGGATGAGCCCCATGTGAGGAGGAGAGTCTGACAGGGGACCCCAGGGGTGACCTCACACCCTTAGTGATGACCCAACAATGCAGAACCTTGCAAGCAGCGAGCCAACTGCTGAGAGACAGCCCGGCAGGCTCACTTGTCTTGAGACACGAGAGAAAGCAAAATGTTTTCGTCCTGTCTCGGGAATACTCGCGAAAGAGGCTCAGACTGCAAGAAGGAAGAAAGGGGAGGCCGTAGTGGTGCCTGGAGACGCCGGGCACGCTCCTGGCTCCACGGCCTCTGGCCATTTGGCCGGAGAGGGACAAACTTGAGTCAGGGCAGCCAGGGCAGCCATGGCAGCCAGGGCAGCCAGGGCAGTCAGGGAAGCCAGGGCAGCCAGGAAAGCCAGAGCAGCCAGGACTGCCAAGTTAGCCAGGGCAGCCTGGGAAGCCAGGGAAATCAAGGCAGCCAAGGCAACGAGGGAAGCCAAGCCATCCTGGTCAGCCAGGGAAGCCACGGAAGCCAGGGCAGCCAGGGCAGCCAGGGCAGCCAAGGCAACCAGGGAAGCCTGGGAATGCAGGGACACCAGGGAAGACAGCAAAGCGAGGGCAGCCAGGAAAGCCAGGGCAGCCAGGGCAGCCTGGGAAGCCAGGAAAATCAGGGCAGGCATGGCAACCAGGGAACCCAGGGCAGCCTGGGCAGCCAGGGAAGCCACAGGAGCCAGGTGTGCCAGGGCATCCAGGTCCAGGGCGACACGGACCAGGTGAGCACTGTTTGATCTCAGAGTTTCGCCCAGGTTCATTCTGGGTCTTTGGCAGTGAGGAGGTTCAGGAACAGCTGCAACGATGACAACCAGTCAGAAGGTCGCAGTCCTGTGCCTGTCTGAACCATGCACCTTGATCTCTCCTCAGGTCGGGGTGGAGTCTGCCCCTGAGGAGCTGAACGAGTCCCCTAGAATGCCCCGTTTCGGGCCCCTGGAACAGATGTCGGCCCTCCTGGTGACGTCCCTGCAGGGTGGAGACTCCTTCTTTGTGTTTGTCTTCTACTGCATACACCAAAAGTTTCTCACCACTCAGCATGTGCTGGACCTGCTGTTCAGGCGGTGAGTGCCCACCTCCGAGCTCAGAGGCCTCAGATCCTCTTGTTGGCTGTGGGAAGCGCTCTGCCTTTCTCAGAGCCTACTGAGTGTCTAGGGTCTCCTCAGGACCCAACAGCATGCAGTCAGAAAATGCTTCCTCCAGGCTTTGCCCTAGGGACTGGCCTGTCCGCAGCTGAGAGCCTAACCAGTGTGGGTGTCCTCTGAACGCTGACGAAGCTCTGTACCCTTGGCCCAGTTTTACCTGAGGCCTTGGTCAAAGCACTCCTCCCATTGTGAAGGGGGTCCTAGACTCCATTTTGGAGTGGTGAAGAGAGCTGCGCCCAGAGTGGAGAGCCGTGGACGGTAATGCGAGGGAGGCACCCTGTGTCCGCTGAGGTGTCTGGATAGAGATGTTTGTGATCACCCACCCACTGCACAAACATATGAGAAGCAGCTCCTCGTATGCAGGGGAGCTAGTCATTCTCAGAGCAGACAGAACTTCTAGGCTCTGGAGTTTGATTCCTCTGCAGGAATGCGCAGGCCCCCCCCCCCAGGTGTCTTTTCTGTGGTGTACCTGGGGATCTCCTGGTGACACCACCCTTCCTGGTCTCCTCTAGATACCCATCCTTCCAGGCCGACTCTGAAGAGGATGAACGAGTAAAGTAGTAAGTGGGCTCTGGAACGAGACAAGTGCCGCCTAGGCTCTCCAGAGCCGGCTCAATTGGGTTCTAAGGGCGAGGGATGGCCGATGCTTGGGTCTCAGCATCTTCGGGTCTAGTACCATATGGAGGTCTAAGCCTTGCCTGGAGGCTGAGGAGAACCTTCCGGGCAGGGTCCTCGAAAGTGGGGATATGGGGACGCCTAGGGCCTCCAGTGCCCCTGGGAGACTCTACCCTCGTCTCAGTCCGTGGTGTGCCGGCTGGGTCAGCTGTGCTGCATCAGAGCCCGAGATAGAGGTGTGTGGAGCTCCCTGCTCACACAGACCTCGCAAGGGCAGGATCTCTTCCACCTTGCGGTCGGTCTCACACCCGCAGAGCTCTCCCTCGGAGGGCTGGCAAAGGAAAGAGCAGGCCACCGACTGGGCTGTCTGTCCCTTTCTGCCAGCACCATCTGTTCCCTCCTGGACTACTGGATCGACAAGTTCCCTGAGGAGTTTTGCAGGATCGAACACCTGCCCATTCTGAAGCGGGTGAAGGATTACTTGAGCGTGAACATGCCCTCCTCAGACCTTCTGGTGCGTGTCCAGTCTCTCCAGGAAAATTTGCTGTCACAAGTGGCCAGCGATTCAGGGGCCAGCGATGAGGATGCCTCAGGGTAGGTGGTTGAGAGCCTGGGAGCAGGGTTCAGGACCTGGAGTGCTGTGGGGATCCTCTGAGAGCTTCCTCTGTGCAGGAGCTACCGATGGATCCTAAGCCGGGCACATGTCCTTTCTGAAGATAGATTCTGTCTGGGACTCCGGGCAGACATGGTCTCCTCTCTGTCGGGAATGGCTCATTCTAGGCACGTCGTCTCCTCCTGTAGGTCCACGGCCACGTCCCCTCCTAGAGACGCCGGCTTGAGCAACACACCTGTGTGCAATCTTAGGCCCGGGCAGCGGCGCCTCCGCAGATCCAGTGCTCCCAGTGTGTTGACCAGCAATGGCGACGGCTACTCTGGAGCCAGAAGCAGCCTGTGCACTGGAGCCGGAGAGCACACAACCGACACAAGGTTCTGTGACCCGTGTGCAGCTGGAGCCACATGTGGCGGCAGCAGCGGGCTCATCGCCACCCACTGAAGCTGTCGCTGTTGGCCGTGAGGGCAGACGCGGTACCACATTCAACATCTTGCTTGGGCCGCAGTGGTCTGCCTCCCCAGGGAACGGCCCGGCCACCCCTTCCTCCTCCTCTGGTCGTCTGCATGTATCTGCCCTGCAGACGGCACAGCTTCTGGTGTTTCCCCACAGAACGACTCCCCGATTGCAACCCAGCAGCCTTGTCAGCCCCACAGCCAGACTCACCCTGCCCTGGCTAGCAGCCTTTTGACTCTGATCAATGTTGTGTTAGTTTAGTCCGAGGATTGGTTTGAATAAATTGCTCTTGTTTGTGTTTCATTGTCTGAATCGTGGATATGACGTCCACTCTGCATGCATGTACTGGGCCTAGGGGAACGGCTACGTGGGAGAGGCTACGTGGAGACATACCTTCCTGCAGAAAGGGAGATAAAAGCCCCGGCCTTGACAGAGGCCCGCCGAATGCCTGGGAGTGGTGCTACCTGTCCGAATAGCTGTGGCTGGCTGCCATTGGCTGGGGTCCTGACGGCCAGGTCATGTGCTTAGAGGTCAGGCGACCAGGTGTCCCTCCAAGGGGTTTCTCCTTGAGTTGCAGGCTCCTGTAGCTGGGTAGCAGCAAAGTTTCAGGGGCCGATGAGGACAAACTCTAATGTCACGAGATCCCTGCTTGCTCTGAGCACAGGGCCATGTCCACACTTACCCTTTCTGAGGAGAGGATGTGGGGGGTGGTGGTAGAATTGAGCTTTGGGG